AACTCACCCAGTGAATATGGCATTTGTGATTCGAAAGGTTTTTCAATCTTTATCAAACAATGAACTTTATTTTTTTTTTTAAAAAAAAAACAAAGACAAAGAAGAAACACAGACAAGACATTTAAAAAGTGCATTAATAATTAATACATATATACATATTATCCCCCCAATTGAATACTAATATATTACAACAATATTAGTTTCCCATTCCTTGCACAACAAGCCCCCCCAAATTTTTAAACTATAAATTTATTTTCAAGTTATTTGCCTATCATCTATACATTATATCAGTGGTTCTCAACTTTTTTAATGCCGTGACCCCCAACCGGTCGTAGGTCGAGGACTACTCAACCGGTCGTAAGTCAAGGACTACTCAACTGGTGCAGCACCATTTGCAGAATGGGACTTTTGGCGGGCTCAGCAGGGCAGAGACAGCCTGGACAATTCCTATTGGCTTTTGAAAGCCAATAGAATTAGACTCTATTCAAGAGAGGCTATTCTATTGGCTTTCAAAAGCCAATAGAATAAAAGGGAGTAGCATAGCTAAGGAAAAGGGGGAAAAAATGGCGGACTGCGTTGTTTGGCAACCCCCGTGAAATGGTCGTTCGACCCCAAATGGGGTCCCGACCCACAGGTTGAGAACCACTGCATTATATTAATGACCAAATAGTTAACAAGAACAAAAATAATAAAAAAGGCAAGATTAAAGTTTCAAAACCCTCTGCTGTTAAACTGTTATTGTAATCAACTCGTAGAAAATTTACCACAGCATCTTGTCTATCCCAAATTGTCCAAAAAGATAACAGTGATTTGTCCTGGATAAAATAGTCATCTTTATTTCTTAATACCATCTCTTATCAATTATTCTCTGATTAAATATGATATATTTCAGTGGTGGCAAACCTATGGCACGGGTGCCAGAGGCGGCATTAAGAGCCCCCTTTGTGGGCATGTGCGCCGTTGCCCCAGTCCTAGGCCTTCAGCTGGGTTTTATAAAACCTTTTCGCTTTAGGCCTCCGCCGTGTGCAAAAAAAAAAGAAAAAAAAAAGGTTCAAACAATGAGTCAATTTCAACTTCTCACAGGAAAAAAAAAGATCTCAAAGTTGAAATTGATTGATTGAACTTTTTAGTCCCACCCAATTTGCCATTACCACCGCAGCCATGCCCACCCAATGGGCCATACCCACCCGGCACCCGACAATGCATAAGTGGGTTTGGGGTTGCAGTTTGGGCACTCGGTCTCTAAAAGGTTCACCATCACTGATATATTTAACCTCCAAAATCAATCTATCTTCCCAAAAAAGTCCAGATGAAATTGTTTTGCAGTTAAATGTGGTAAGTCGATGCTCAATTTCCTTCAATCTTCTTAGGGAGAACCAATTAGTTACTTTTCCACTCAGTCAGCTTTCTGCACTTGTAGAAGAATGCAGGTTTGAAGGGAGGGGTATGGAATCAACTCAGTTAGTTGTAACTCTAAATTCTAAATTCTAAGTCTATAGAGTTTATATTTCTTTCCAGCGAATCTACTACTTTCAGATCACATGCTTTTATGAGTCCAATTTATCTGCAGTTAAATGCACCTGAATATTTTTCACACTCATTATCATTTCATTAAACTATTTAAATAAGTTATCAGATAGGAACTGCATATTACTAAACAATCTTTTTTCAGATGTTAGCCACATGTGCCTGTTTGTAATCTGATATATTATTGCTCTATGTTTCTTGACAATGATAGATAAAAGAATGCAGGGAATCTTCAGGATGAAAAAAAAAAGCAGGGAAGATATTTTCTGGATATTTCGTTCCAAAATTAAAATATTTTTTTAAAAAATCCAAACATTTTGCAAATTAGTAAAATGCAAAAACCTTGTAGCGAGACTCCAATATAGATGTAAGTCTAATGAAACCATTTTCACTATCCCAGATATCTGCTTTTATGAAAAAGCAGAAGTCGTTTAGAACAACAGCATATATGAAAAGGAAAATATTAAAAAAAGAAAAAATAGAGTCCAGCAGGGGGATAGGATAAATCCGTATTCAATCAGCCAGTCAACTTTTAGAAATAAAAAGTGAAATGAAAAAAAAAAGCTTGAAAAAGTAAAGTTAAAACCCTGGCATTTTAAAGAAAATGAACAATGTTTCTTTATTGTTCATTTAGTAAATTGTTAATATGAAATTAATAATAATAATAATAGTAATAATAATAGTAATAATAATAGTAATAATAATAATAGTAGTAGTAGTAGTAGAACCTGGAGGTCATCTAGTCCAACCTCCTGCTCAGGCAGGAAATCCTATACCATTTCAGACAAATGGCTGTCCAGTCTCTTCTTAAAAACTTCCAGTGTTGGAGCATTTACCACTTCTGGAGGCAGGTTGTTCCACTGGTTAGTTGTTCTAACTGTCAGGAAGTTTCTCCTTAGTTCTAGGTTGTTTCTCTCCTTGATTAGTTTCCATCCGTTGCTTCTTGTCCTGCCTTTAGGCACTTTGGAGAATAGCTTGACTCCCTCTTCTTTATGGCAGCCACTGAGATATTGGAACACTGCTATCATGTCCTCCTTCGTCCTTCTCTTCATTAAACTAGACATATTCAATTCCAGCAACGGTTCCTCATATGTTTTAGCCTCCAGTCCCCAATCAGTGCTTTTTTTGTAAAAAAAAAAAAAAAAAAAAGGTGCCGGAACTTACACATGTCATGCAACCCGCCTTGCCTACCTTACAAGATTCCATCCAAAAAAGGTGCCGGAATTCCATTCTGGGCATTCTGTGACAAAAAAAGCCCTGCCCCTAATCATCTCTGTTGCTCTTCTCTGTACGCTTTCTATAGTCTCAATATCTTTTTTACATTGTGGTGACCAAAACTGGATGCAATATTCCAAGTGTAGCCTTACCAAGGCATTGTAAAGTGGTATTAATACTTCACGTGATCTTGATTCTATCCCTCTGTTAATGCAGCCTAGCTTTGTGTTGGCTTTTTTGGCAGCTGCAGCACACTGCTGGCTCATATTTAAGTGATTATCCATTAGGACTCCGAGATCCCTCTCACAGTTACTACTATTGAGCAAGATACCCCCTATACTATACCTGTACATTTTCTTGCCTAAATGTAGAACCTTACTTTTTTCACAACTGAATTTCATTTTGTTGGATAGCGCCCAGTGTTCAAGTCTGTCCAGGTCCTCCTGTATCTTAAGCCTGTCTTCTGGAGTGTTGCCAGCTTGGTGTCGTCTGCAAATTTGATGCGTTCCCCATCTATCCCCTCGTCCAAATCATTGATCAAGATGTTGAAGAGCACTGGGCCCAGAACAGAGTCCAGGGGCACCCCAGTACACACTTCCCTCCATGTAGATGCGGTTCCATTGACCGCATCTACATTAATTTCACCTCTTTCATTGGCTAATCCTGATAAATCAAATCCTGTAATGATTCTTGTCCTTTGTTTTATAAGTAGACTCATACGGCTTACAAAAAGTAGCCAGATGTTGTGTGCTACTTTAAAAATGTTATCCTATGAAGAGATAACAGGTAGTCCTCAATTTGCGACCATAACTGAGTCCAAGCTTTCCATTGCTAAACAAGACAATTGTTAAACGAGTTTTGCTCCATTTTACGACCTTTCTTGCCACAATTGTTAAGTGAATCACTGCAACTGTTAAATTAATAACACATTTGTTAAGTGAATCTGGCTTCCCCATTGACATTGCAGATCAGAAGTCACAAAAGATGATCACGTGACCCTGGGACACTGCAACCGTCATAAATATGGATGAGTTGCCAAGCATCCAAACTTTGACCATGTGACCACGGGGATGCTGCAATGGTCGTAAGTGTGAAAATGGTCATAAGTCATTTTTTTCAGTTCCATTGTAACTTGTAAGTTGAGGACTACCTATACTGAGGATTCACTTATTAGTAAAATGGCTATATATTTTACAGGTATACTTCATTGCTCTGTTGCTAACCTTGGAGAGTAATATACTGTGTTCTTTTGGGTAAAAACAGTGAACCATTTTGTAGTCATTTTTATTCTAACTTTCTAATGCCAGAGATACTTAACATTTTCACATGGTTTTATATAGGAATGGTGTACGTTATAAATAATTTCATTACTCTATAAATAATGTTACTAAATTTTGCCAACCATTTTATTTCCAGTTTTAATGAAAATGTATTAATTTTCACACGTTATTTTTGCAACACAAAAACATTGCTGCAAAATGGGTTACACAGATTAGCTGCAGTTTGTCAAAATGATGCAGGTTGCATAAAATGGGAAAGCACATTAAAAGTATGTGGGTTGAAAATTATACATTCAGAAGATCCAGGCTGCACTGCTGTCCTTTGTGCTGATTTCTGGGCTTAAGGAAATATAGCAGGTTTAGATCCTGAATGTACATTGTATTTATTGGGTTGAAATGCAAGGAGGAGGAGGAGGAGGAGGAGGAGAGAAAGGGAAGAGGAAGAGGAAGAAGAAGAAGAAGAAGAAGAAGAAGAAGAAGAAGAAGAAGAAGAAGAAGAAGAAGAAGAAGAAGAAGAAGAAGAGGAGGAGGAGGAGGAAGAAGAAGAAAAAGAAGAAGAAGAAGAAGAAAAAGAAGAAGAAGAAGAAGAAGAAGAAGAAGAAGAAGAAGAAGAAGAAGAAGAAGAAGAAGAAGAAGAAGAATTCAATGCTGAGAAATATAGGTAGTCCTTGACTTATGACTACAATTGAGCCCCAAATTTCTGTTTATAATGATACAGTTGTTAAGTGAATTTTGCCCCATTTTACACCATTTCTTGCCATAATTTTTAAGTGAATCACTGCAATTGGTAAATTAGTAACACAGTTAAGTGAATCTGGCTTCCCCATTGACTTTGCTTGTCAGAAGATGATCACGTGTCCCTGGGACACCGCAACTGTCATAAACATGAGTCAGTTGCCAAGCGTCTGAATTTTGGTCACATGACCATGGGGATGCTGCAATGGCCGTAAATATGGAAATATGGTCATAAGTCAGTTTTTTCAATGCTATTGTATATTCAAACGGTCACTAAATGAACTGTTATAAGTTGAGGACCACCTGTACAATTTAGTAGCAGCAAATGTAATTGATGATTACACCTTAGTGATAGTATATTTCTTAAAATTAGAAATGATACCTAAATAGTCTTGCTAGTAAGAGTTCTCCAGAAAAAATATCCATGAATACCTTCTCCATTCCCAATTAAGCAGAACTCAGATTTATTTATTTTTCTTTTATGGTTAATTCCAAGCTAAGTGAAATGCCCTTGAATCATAGAGTTTAAAGCAGGGGTGTCAAACTGGCAGCCAACATGCCGGATGTGTCACACACTAGCCTTGCCCACCCCAGCTCCACCAAGGCAAAAAAAGTCGCAATACGTCACGATACGTCATGTCACATGACAGGATGCATAATATTACATAGTGTAACTTAAATTTCCCTTTTCTATTTGCTAGTCCTTCAAAGACTGAATACCTTTCTAAAACATTTCAGCCGTTTATCCTTTAGTTCAAGGGGGGCTCTTTTAGGGCAAATTGTGAAAAGTGCAAACTGAGAAAATATTGATCCAAAGTCAGAGTCATAGATAGTACAAATGTCAAAAGCCTTCTGAGGAAGTGATGAAAGGGTGTTACATATCTGTGCCATTTGAGAAATAGTACTATTTATTGCACTGAGCCAATAGACTCACTATCATGCAAATATGTATAGGCTTTCATTGAAGAATTCTCTTCAGTGATCTGCAGTGCACAATTTATCTTTTCAGATTCAATTAACAGTCATACCACTACTTTTGCTTCTTCTTCTTTTTCTTTTATAAAAGTGGCACACTCAGCAATATTGGTCTTCCCTGCTTTGTATATGTCGATAATGAATGTCATCCGAAAGTTGTGCAAAATCTTGTAATTTAAAGTTGCACATTGCAGCAAATATTGCAAGTGCCCTTTTTGGCAGATAGGCTGAGAAAACCCTTTCATTCCTATCATTTCATGTGATTGCTGCACAGAAGGGTGGGGGGAGCCTCAACATAAGTAATTGCATAGGCGGCTGCATGCTTGGGGAAAGATTTTCTAAAATGGGGTTATATTGTTGTCACCGCCCCTCCCCTCCTTTGAACGGTGCAACCAGATACAAGGTTTGTCGTTTCCTTGTTTAAAGTTGGTGTATTTTTAGTCCTTAAAATGAGAATAGGTGACTAACGATGTAGCTTCTGTCACAGGGGTGCAAAAACAAGACAACGGAAAAATAATATCCATTCCTTTTGCCAGTAGATGGCGGTATCCCTTAATTTGCAGTCTTGGTTTTCATTTCATTATTTAAATATAGAGCAGTCTCTTTTCTTCCTTCCCTCTTTTTTTTTTTTTTTAATTCCCCCACAAGCACCCCCTCCCTTACGGATGTTGGGGAACACGGAATGATTTTTAGAGGAAGACGCCAGGGCAGAAGGTTCCTGTAAAGGTTTCTTTTCAATTTTGGGGGTGGATCTTTTTTGTCCATGAGACGGTGTAAAATGGGAGACTTTGGAAGCTCCTATCTTGAGGAACCTGGACAGCTGCAGTAAGGAAAAAACGGCATATGCAGATCTATGGATAATGGTTCTCCTGCTGATGCTGTAATAATTTATCACGCTTCTTCTCAGGTAAGATAATCGATTTAAGGGAATAGTTCATTGCTGGGTTTATGTCGTCCCTATCAGGCCCTGTTGATTGTCCCTGTCTCCTGCTGATGCATCTGCTGGACCTTTTATTTTGGATGCAACAAGGAGAAAGGAGATTATAGAGAGGTGCATTTGGGCTGAGTTTCACTCCACATATCCCTCCATTATAGGAGGAAGAGTTTAATCTCTTACAGGTTGCTTATAATGTGCTGTTAATTCGGTGTTACGTTTTCTAGAATGTACGGCAGAGATTCGCTTCCCTTCCATTGCTCAAGTCAAAATGTATTGTTGCTTGATCTGGTGCTCAGCCACAAGTGATACATTTTTCCAGGTTGCCTTATTTTGTGCGTTAACAAAAATGGTCAAGGAATAATGAAGCAGACTGAGAAATGGGGGTGGTGGATTGAAGAGGACCTTCAAATCGTACTATCACAGAAATATACTGTATCATTAGAATTAGTAGGTGACAATACAGTCTTTTGTAATATTATCCACCCTGTTGTTTATCAAGGTATAGTTCATTTACAGTACTGCAGTACAGTAGTTCCTCCCAGTAGAACAGCCTTTTAGGTGGAGGAGATAGTATGAAAATCACTGTTTAGGTCAATTCATCCACTAGAAGGTGGCAAAAAACACAGCAAGATTAACCTCCTTTCCCCCCCCCTTTTCCCCCCTAAAAGATACCATTGCATGTTCGGTCCTTGCCTTTGCTTTTGACTCCCACATGCCCCCTGCATTATGTGTCTCATTCACATGATTCAGACTGTGAGAAACAACAGGGTTTCCCAGCAGGCAGCAAACCAATGCAGCTCCTGATCTTAACTCGGTTCTACCCCCACCCCAATTTTCCCTCTTGAAAAAAAAATAAATGGAATTGCAATTATTGGGAGACCTGATTTCCTAAATCAATGATTCATAAGCACTGTCTCTCTGGATGAGAAACCTTCTGTGGTCTCCTTGAGGGTAAGCAAGAGAGGATCAATACTGCGGCTGTCAAGGCAACCTAAAGTAGATTGCCAGGTTGATTGCAGCAGAAGGTTTGGCCTCAGCTTCCCAGTTCCTTTGGCACAGAGCAGATAGCACTCCTGTTGGCTTCTGAGAAGCTACCTTTGCTGGTTGAGGTGCTTGGATTCTTTCCACAGCTGAGCTCTGAATCATGGACAATGTGTCATGCCTAGAAGGGAAAAAAAAACATTCATGGGAAAGGAGCCACCCTTTTTTTAGGCAGGAAGTAGGGAGGAGACACCCTTGCTGTTCCTAGCTACTGGGTCATGGATGAGCTTTGCATGTGAGAAAGGTTGAATGTGCAGCTGTGGATGATGCATTTCCTCTCCCTCTCCTCAGCCCTGGCCTTTTGTGCTTTCTACAAGACATTCATTATTAAGCACATATATACATCTCTGCACAAAGGCTTCTATTGTCAGTCCACACAGCCATTTGTCTTACTAAAACCAGCTTCTTGAAAGAACACTTGGAATGGAGATTTTGAAATTAAAGGGATAGTGAAGGTGTACTTTCTATAATTTAAGAGGGCAACAGAAGAAAACCTAAAAAGGCACATTTGTGGAGCAATATTTTGATGGGAGAAGAACCTCCGACGATCATTTTAGAGAAATGGACATGATTAGCTAACCGACAGGTAGCCATCTTATGGTCTGTTGCAATGAAAGGTTGCATGCTGGCTTAGAAATAAACAGATGAACCGTAGCATGTGATTGAATTGTGGGGAGTAATGCTCAATTTTAGTTGTGGGGCAAACACGTGTGACTTGGTTTCAATGGTTGTTTAGACTGGAAAACTACCTTTATGTATTTTTTGTGTGTGGCAATGACAATATTTCTAAGCTTTCTGTTGTCATTCTCATTTGCACAACTTCATTAACTGGGTTGAGGAAAGTGTCATGCAAATACCAGAATGCAGAAGGGATTAGTTTCACTTAAACAATCTTAGGCAGGGGTTTTCAAACCTGGCCCTTTTATGACTTGTGGACTTCAACTCCCAGAATTCCTCAGCCGGGCACTCTGGCTGAGGAATTCTGGGAGTTGAAGTCCACAGGTCATAAAAGGGCCAAGTTTGAAGACCCCTGGTCTTAGGGCTTTCTGCCTTTCCCCCTTTCTGAACAGGTCCTAGAAAAGTCACCATGAAAACAGGGGGGACTTTGTCCCCCTTTTAGTTTTCAGCGCAAACCCAACCCAAAAAAGGGGTTCCTATGGTAGAAAAAATGGGGAATGATATCCTTCCAGCAGATACGTTCATTGAGGAAATGGCTGCTCCCCTCGTCACTAGGTCACCATTGGTCATAACCTACCTGCCAAGAGAATGACTAATTGGATTATTCTGTCAAATGAACCTAACTTTTACGTACCATGCATGCATTTCAGACCTGCTGGTCCTTTCTGAGAAATATTTAATACTTTATGCCTAAGAGGCTTCAGCTTTGAGGATTTGTTTCTTAGCAAGTAACCACACCACATTTTAATTACAGGCAATCCTTGACTTAACGACCATTTGTTTAACAATTTGAAGTTATGATGCCTTGGAAAACGTGACTTCTGATCCATTCTCAAAGTCATGATCCTCATATTACTGTCCCAGTCTCTGATTGGAATTTGGCCACTTGGCAACCAGCTTACATTTATGATGGTTGCCGCATTGTCTTGTGGTTTCACATGTTTGTGACCTGCAGTCTGACCATCTGGCTTCCAACAAGTAAAGTCATTTGGGTAAGCCAGATTTCCTTAACATTCATATGACACAATGTCTGTGGTGTTTCACTTTACAACCATAGTAAAAATGGTTGTAAAACCAAGTCTGGTCATATGATGATTTGCTTAACAATCACTTAGTGACAGAATCTGCAGTCACAATAGTGGTCGTAAGCCAAAGACCACCTGCCTAAGTAAAAGGCTATAAAGTTCAGACAGTTCACATCACTTATATTTTAACAAAGTCTTTATGTAGTTTTCTCAGAAATAATAAGGAAGCTGTTTGCTATTTTGTTCTTGACCCTTACCTGGTAATTGGTTTGGACTGCCCAATTTGGCCCAGTTTGCTAAATTGTCTTCCATCCAAATACTTGCTAGATTTGATCCTTCTTAGCTTTTTGATGTCAGCCAAGATTAGCTGGTGCTACCACCTGTTGTGACATTGATTTTGTACTTTTATCTTTTATTCATTCCTCACAATACTACAATATTGGAGATATCGTTTCTTCCCCAGCCTTTCATTAACAATAGGGGGAGAGGGAGAAACAAATATTTTACTTTGGATTTCATGAGGAATCGTGGTAAAACTAAGGTGACTAACTTTTTTACAATGAAAAGGAGGACACAAATAAATTGAAGAAAAAAATATCGTAAATAAAAGAAACATTTTATTCATTGCAACAATAATACAGAATACACTATAATATGATAAATGCATAATAAAAATATTTGTAACGATAACTTTATATTGTAATTATGCTTACATGCTGCGCCCCCGCCTGCAGCCGCCCCGCCAGCACTGCTGCCCCGCTGTGTAGAGCAGGCCCCACAGCTCCCAAAGCAGCAGCTGCGCCGGCTCTGGCCCTGGGGGCAGCCCGCCATCAACACACCCCGCTTGCAGCCACCCCGCCAGCACCACCGCCCACCCTGCACAGCCCCATTTAGAGCAGGCCCCGCGACTCCCACAGCATGGGGGGGCAGCCGGCCACTGCCGCCCCTCACACCCCCACCCGCAGCAGCCCTGCCGCCCCTGCCTCTGGCACCCGCAGCCATTATTGCCCTAGCAGGGCCGAAGAGAAAGTTACCGTGGCAGCGCCGCTCCAGTCTCCTCCAGGTATCTTCAGGACTAACTAGTAGAGGGGGAATTGGGTAGCAGCGAGGGGTGCAAAGTTCCTGCCAGTTCGCCTTCTCTGCAGTCAACTTACATGTGCAAAGTTTGCCGGCCGGGTGTTTTGGCGCACTCAGCAGCAATTCCTATTGGCTTTTGAAAGCCAATAGGGGGAGTAGCACAGCTCATGCAAAAGTTGAAAAAAAACCATCAAAAAAAGGTGCCGGAACGCCGTTCTCAGCGTTCTATGAGGGAAAAAAAAGCCCTGCAGATTAGTCTTCAAATATCAAAAAGGAGGACATGTTGGAGGACACTTTTCTAGGGAGGACAGAACTCACAAAAGGAGGACTGTCCTCCCTAAAGGAGGACAGTTGGTCACCTTAGGTAAAATAGAAATCATTAGTACCTTTTTCTCTAGTATCTACCTAACATCTGAAACCAGTCAGATTTCTTACAATTTCTTTTCCCAGCTATCACCCCTTGAGAGGTCTCTCATGGATTTGCTTAACAGTCAAACATGCAAAGCAGTAAAACAATCTGAAAGTCCCCACAGAGTCCAATGACATACACCAATCCTCTTAATCCCGTCTCTTATTCTCTGAAATGAGAAAGCTTTACCAGCAACTTTAATCATCAATTAAATTTAATCATCAATAAAAGAAATTAAGAAATCCAATTCTTCTACTTTGTAAATCTGCCCAAACACTTGGATCTATTTCTAAGATCCATCTCCAATAAATAGGGAGCAGCCAAAGAACGAAGAGTCCCAGAAGAGTCACCATCCTCCAATGGTCCTCCAGATCCTCTAAAATAGCTTCTCTGCAGACTCCTTTCTATAATTTCTTCAGTAGGCATAGACTTTGTAATGTTTCCATTCTTTAAAAAACTTAGTTTTACAGTTTGTCCTTAAAGCAAGGTGTTCAGTGATGGCCATTTTAGAAATATTTCTCTTTCTGAACCTCCACGCAACTCTTTTTTTTCTTCTATATCTGATCCAGCATAACTTGGTGTTCCAACATTAAAGCACTACCCAATAAATGTACTGTGTAGCAGTCTCCTCCTAGGTAAGCAGGTGCAGGAGTACAAAATCACTTTCATTTTTATTTGAAAGTGATGATAAAGGAAGTCACGAGCAAATTAACTGATGTATTAATGAGTGTTATATATTTAACTAATTTTGTAAATAAGGGAGGATAAATCTCAAAAGTGAATGGAAGCATAAGCAGTAACAAATAATAGTGCTAACATGACAGGTTGCAGGAAGGTGTAATTGCATCTGATTATGGTTACCAGCTATGTACATTAAATAGAGCTAGAATTGGTGTAGCAGTTTAAGGCAGTGCTTCTCAATTTTGACAGCTTTAAGATGTGTGGACTTCAACTCCCAGAATTCCCTAGCCAACATGATTAGGTTGGGGTGTCAAACTGGCTCCAGAAAAACTCAGGTTTAAGATCACCATTAGCCACAGCAGTTCACTGGGTAACTTTGGACTGGCTCTCGGTTCAATCTAGACTTGGTTGTTGTAAGACAAAAGGGGCGTTGTCTAACCTGAACACCTTTTCTCAGCATGACGATGGAGAATCCACAATAGAATGGGTTGATCCTTGTCTTCCTACCCAGAGACCAAGTCAATCAACTTTTTGCCACGCCTCTTCCCCTGGCCCAGGATCCCCAGTCTTGACAAAGGCGTAGCTGTTGATAACATTACAATGTGGTGGCTCAAAGAAAAAAGTCCCCTCACACAGGACCTGACGGACCTAAACGGGGGGGGGGGGAGTGGATTCTCCATCATCATGCTGAGAAAAGGCGTTCAGGTAAGACAACACCCCTTCTCCAGCATGACCAATGGAGAATCCACAATAGAAAGGGACATACCAAAGCCTCACTGTCCCTGTGGGTGGGAAGTTGTCTGGGCCTGTGCCCCACTATCTGGTACTACTATCTGGAGAACTCTCCTACCAAACAAGGCATCTGTCGAGGCAAATTGATCTAGTTTATAATGCCTTACAAAAGGTGAAGGTGACGACCACGTCACTGCCCTACAAATTTCCTTGATCTACACTTGTGTGGCCCACGCCGTTGAGGTCGCTGCACTGTGAGTTGAGTGCATGGTGATCCGACTAGGAACTGGCAAGGATTGTGTCTGATACGCCTCCAACTATACATGCTCTAATCCATCTGCCAATGGTAGAGGCAGACACCTTCTGGCCCACTGAAGAGGGTTGGAATGAAACGAAGAGGGCCTCAGAGTTGCGGAAAGGAGCAGTTCGCTTAATGTAGTGACGTAAAGCTCTGTGGATGTCCAGCTACACGTACTGCTGAGCTACAAGATGTGGGCTACTAGTTCAATCCTAACTATCGCAGCATTTCCTAAAAATTAAAGGAACAACTTTAGTAGCATTTCTTTTTGAATTAGCTTAAAACAATCATGTTGTTTTAAGCGCTGAGTGTCTGCCATGGAAGAAATTTCTTGGCAACTGATCTTTCTATTCCTATGGACAGTGCTTTTTTTGTTAAAAAAAAAAAGGTGCCAGAACTCACACATGTCATACAACCTGCCTTGCCTACCCTATAAGATTCCATCCAAAAAAGGTGCCAGAACTCTGTTCTGGGCGTTCTATGACAAAAAAAAAAAGCCCTGCCTATGGATGCTAGACATAGTTCATGTACTATATCCACACAAAGCAAAGATGGAAAGTTGGAAGATAATTTTGTAAGAGGGAAAGCCTAATAAACAATTTACAACACTAATAATGAAGACAAGCGAGACTGGTATTATAGTTCACTTAAGAGGAGTTATAATTTATTTAGCCTGTAGCTCTAAGCAAAGGGATTCATGCCTTATGCACACATGAAGTTGAACACGTAGGATTTTGTTCTCCTGCCTGAACTCCTTTAGCAGTTTTCCTCAGCCTGTTGTCCTCCAGACACATTGGATTTCAACTCTCAGCCAGTAGGGATATGGTTAGATGTTGGGAACTTAAACAGAGTAGGAAAGTCTCAAGTTAGGGAAGACCATCATACAGCATGAATATGTAATATCTAAAGGAAGCCTATTCACCTATCCATTATTTGAAGACTATCGTTTTTATAGAAGGTTTGCATGTATATATATATATATGAGTGAGTCCCGTTCTGTTCTCCTCACCTCAAATACATTGCTTAATTAAGCAGCACCCATTCGTGTACAGGTAGTCCTCGACTTATACAGCCATTCATTTAGTGACCGTTCAAAGTTATAACAGCATAGAAAAAAGGTGACTTATGACTGCTTTTCACCCTTATCACTACTGTAGCATTCACATGGTCACATAATCAAAATTTGGAAGCTTCCCAAGTCGGTTGCAGTGTCCCAGGATCCTGTGATTACCTTTTGCAATCTTCTGACAAAGTCAGTGGGGAAGCCAGCTTCACTTAACAACTTGGTTACTAATTTAACAACTGCAGTGATTCACTTAACAACTGTGGCAAGAAAGGGTGTAAAATGGGACAAAACTCAACAACAACAAAATTGGACTCATTTGTGGTCATAAGTCAAGGAATACCTGTATTCATTTGCAGGTTAATCAAATATGGAAAAATAAGTTTTTCATGCATTGTTTTATTCAAGATTTCAAACATATGTCTTACCTACTTGAAATGCATTTTCCTGGAAAAATATGAAATTACATTTGTTGATTATTTGCTTGTTTATATGTTAGGAATGTACCAGCGATACAGTGAGGATCTCTTCCATTTCTCGAATTTACTCAGACTACAGTAATACAGCTGTCTAATCTGTAGCTAGCTCCCCATATGGTTAATGCAAGGCAGGACAAAATCAAACTTTGATCTGATAATGCTCCCAACATCTTGCTTGATTCAATTAAAAAACAATTTTTGCTGCTTCTTGGCTACTTTCATATTGGAAAACACTGCAATTGATAAAATAAGTTAATTCTGAGCTTGATTGTGATGTGCTTACTAAAGACAAAGGTTGTTTTCATACATCCAAACTCAGCTTTAGATTAGCCCAACATGGTGCTGTTCCCAGGCCAGCTTCATGCTGTGTTGTTTTCAGAAAAAAAAACATGTAACAAACTGAGGCATTTGACAGCATTGTGGCAAATGGATGACACTTACTGCTTCCAAGTTCTGTTTTCCTCGCTCATAACACTTTATAACTGTTTTTCTGAATGATTGTTTCATGTATACTTTGACAGTGCTGTTTGACAGAATTAAAATATCAACATTATTAGTTGATATTACTTTAGACTCTCTCCCAAACTGTTCCATCACACAACATTGTGCACGTTTGACCCTAGATATTAAATCCACTTTTTTCAAGAGCTGAGTCCCCCAAATATCTCCATGGAGCCATAATTGTCTTAAATTTGATGTCTTGTAAGTACATCCTAGTACAGTGGTTCCCAACCTTTCTAATGCCGTGACCCCATAATACAGTTCCCCATGTTGTGGTGACCCCCAAGTGGGTGTGGCCACCAATAAGAGGGAGTAGGACAGCTAGGGAAAAGGGAAAAAAATGGCAGACAGCGTGGTTTGGCGACCCCCATGAAATGGTCATTCGACCCCAAATGGGTTCCCGACCCACAGGTTGAGAACCACTGTCCTAGTAGTTTAAAGAATATGTGTTCAAAATACATCTTTTAATTCCAAAATAAATTAAACATTTATTTGGAGCAGATCTGGGTAGGGCTAAGCCTTGTTCTGAACCCTGGGACTTCAGCCATGGTGTCTAATAAATAGCTAAACAGGGTCAGTTATGTACAAAACACATAACCCTCTTTGGACTGTTACAATTAGCCTCTGCACAATTGTGATTGGGGATGGTGCTTCCTATTCAAGACTGTAAACCTTCTATTCAAAATTAGGGCTGGCACTAAACATCATTCAGATAGGATATTCTCCAGTCCATCATTACCTGCCACTTCATCCGTATTCACTTGGAAATCACAAGCAATTCATCCCTGTTTAGCCAGTTTAAAAAGTGACACACATATGGTTGATAAAAATTCTTTACTGTAAGATGAACCATTACGTTTTACACAGTTTTTATGTAAATAATAACAACATGTACATTAAGGTTTAGATTGTTCTCAGCCCACTTTCCTAATGGGACCTCAGCTCCCCCCCCATATCA